ACAGTCTCTTAGCGCCGTTACTTGACTGAGGTTGTTTCTAAATAGCAAACTATCATGAGGATTTGTAACGATAACTCTTACCGTCAGCTGCCTGAGTTCCGTCGCCACGTTAGGGCCCCCAAATAACACACAGAGGTTAATATTAGTTACAATGCTGCTGGCCAATGACTAGGATTTCTTATTTTCTAGCTGTCTTAAGTATCAACCGAGGACGCTGGCCTGATGTGTCCTCTCTTCCTGGAAGTCACTTGGCGACCCCTCTTTACTACACTTCCCAGAATCCTCCTTCTCTCCAAGTCCCACCTAACTTGCATCCCTTTTGGCCAACAGTGTTTTATTTATCAACCAATAAGACAAACATATTCACAGAAGGACCTCCCCCATCATCTCCTCTTTTCTGTCTAAATAAAAAGGGTTTTAACATTAACATAGTAAAATATATAACAAGCTACCAAGTAAGAAGTACAGTTACAATATTTAGTTCATTAACATTTAGCCACATTTAAAGAAAATATTCTATCATCTAGCCTATCTTTGTGAGTCTAAGGTCTTATATGTAACTTACCTTTTGTAATAACTAAAGAAAACTATAACCATAGCTATCAGTCTTCAACTCCATCAAAGACCACAGAAGGATAATATACAAATTCTAGAATTGACAGAGACATCTCGATGCCTGGGCAGTCACCCAAAGTTCCTGTATTACGTCGGGGCATCCGTCTTCAGCCTGTAGGCTACAGTGTGTCTCGCAGACTTCCTCATGAAGCAGAAACCCTTTAGAACTGTCTTGTTTTGCAAGTTCAGCAGTCACTTTCCTGTGGGTCCTGCATGTCCAGTTTATCAAACAGTCCAGGCAAGAGCAGTTTCTTGCCCAAATGGCTAATCTTGCCATGTTGAAGGCAAACTCCATATTGAGTTTCTTCAATGCCCATCTTCCTTTCTGACATAATTGGTGTGCCAGGAGCAGCTGTGACTCACTGCCATGAAAAACCCTAAACCATTTAAAATGCCATATATTCTGTAGGTCTTTGAAAGGTTTGAAGAATATCTATCCATCTCAAATATGTCTCTGTATATCTAAAAAACCTAACTAACCTAATTATAAGTTTTGACTATTATAGGTGACTATATAATCTGTATTTAATTATGCATATCACAAAATTGACCTTAAATTTGTATCAATAAATGAAAATCCATACCAATGGAAAGTATTGACTTCCTATTTCCCTTTTTTTTCCTTTAAAAAAAAGATTGACTGTGATCATTACCAATTATAACCAACCCCATTTAAATGAAAACAAACACTTATAAACAGTATTTGGGAATTTGGACTTCATTCATTCCAAACTGCTTCCTGCTGGTTGGGGGCAATGTCTAAGGGCCCCCAAATAACACACAGAGGTTAATATTAGTTACAATGCTGCTGGCCAATGACTAAGATTTCTTATTTGCTACCTCTGTCTTAAGTATCAACCACAACTATTTTTTTTAAAGATTTTATTTATTTATTATGTATACAACATTCTGCTTCCATGTATGTCTGCACACCAGAAGAGGGCACCAGATCTCATAATGGATGGTTGTGAGCCACCATGTGGTTGTTGGGAATTGCACTCAGGACCTCTGGAAGAGAAGTCAGTGCTCTTAACCTCTGAGCCGTCTCTCCAGCCCCTCAACCATAACTATTAATCTATATATTTTATAAGGACTTATCTCTCTGAGGACTTATTCTCTCTTCCAGGCAATCACATGGCGACCCCTCTTTACTACATTTCCCAGAACCCTCCTCCTCTCCTAGTCCCGCCTAACTTACTTCCCTATTGGCCCACAATGCTTTATTTATCAACCAATAAGACAAACATACACACAGAAGGACCTCCCCCATCAAGGATTCAGTGCGATGTTGAAAGTAAAGCATTCAACACATGTCTTTTAGTTCAAATTTCTAATATCTGAGAGCTGGGGAGACTGCGGGCAAGTGAGAGGAC